TAGAATATCGCGAAAGGAATAATTTCCATTTTTAATGTGGTACGTTAACTTACCGCAGTACCGTATCTGCCAGACGCTTCTTCTTTGCAAAACCAACTAATTCGATTTACCGAGGTATTATAACAACAGATACCACGGTCAACAAATATGTTCACACCAAGCGAAGCAGCGCAGTACGGTTTACCGTACCTTAACATCACTGGTAACCTCAAAAAACTTACAATTTTTGAGCAACAATTTTTGGATCCGCCCTCACGCCGACGTTCGATGGCACGTGATCATACGTTCGCCGAACGTTCGGTGACGTCATAGCAAACGAAAACAAATCTCACAGAGCTAACAGAAATATTTGAAATGAATAAAAGTAATAGCCTTCTGGAGAAAATTACCATTGAAAATTTTAGAGCAATTGGTCCAGTAATCAAAGGGAAAAGCGACTCTTTGGGTTTTCCGCTAGGTGTCCAAAAACGTGTCAAAGAACAACAAGAACTACAACATAATATTGAAACGATCGCTATGTCCACTACGTGTCCAATAAAACGAAATATATTATCATCACCTCACCGAAAACCATAGGGTACCCTACGCTTTCGGTACGGTATCCTGCACGAATCTGAACAGTGAAACAGCTACATGGCTATGGTAACTGACTTACTAGTAGGCTACTTGGGTACAAACAACGGTACAGGGACTGTCATAGCTCTTCCATGTCCTGGGTCATGATTTATGTTGTTTACATCAGAACTGTAACGAAAAGATGAGAGCGTAATTCACAGAGGTACCGTACGGTACCTTACCAGTACCTGTTACTGTACTGTAGGCCTGCTATTCGATCGTGGAACGGTTGGAACTCAATTCCTCTTGCTAGGAAAGGATTTACATATTTATCCCGGGGGTATCTTATCAAAATTAACATATACAGTAGGCTAGATTCGCTAGAAAACCTACATTTGACATTACTGCAATAGTAAGATCGCGAAAGGAATAAGCCAATTTCCCTGTGGTACCATAGTCATTCATGAGGTAACTGAGCAGTACCGTACCTGCAGGCTCGATCACGCAACCGCTTGAAATAATTGTCAAAACAGTGTTCCCATGAGTAACTTTTAGAACAGCGAAATTTTGAATGAAATATCAATCTCATGGGATTCATAGGAAATTTAGAAATAAATAAAAGGAATATCCTTCTGGAAAAAAATCAAACTTTAACCACTGAAACTTTCGAAGCAATTGGTCCAGTATTCGAAGGGAAATAACAATAACAACATAATATTGAAACGATCGTTATGTCCACTCAATGACATTAAACAACATGATGCGCAACTCCGGCATTTTTGTCCGAAGATCGTATTCGATACCACGCTCCAATGCACATACTTGACGAGACGAAAACGAGCGGATGTGTACTGCTTTCAAGACATAGCACGAATGGTGTTCGTGCCTGCTTTGACAGTTGTTGTCGATTTTAATGATATTTTGGAAAGTTAAGGTAAAAAGAAATCGGAAAAAGGTAAGGTAAATACTATTGTTGTATATCACACCCGGGCATCGCACTGTTAAGTACATGTGGGAAAGCCAGCCTTTGTCAAATACTACGAAGTTATTAATTCAGTACGGTACGTAGTTGCCCATTTGCCGAAATTACATATTTACTTACCCCTTATAGTTTCAAATAGTTCATGCACCTCCAGTTAGATTTTTTTAATCAGTGAGAATATATACTCATTGTTGATTGCTGCTTATTGTAACATACTATTGCGCATTCACTTTTATTTGCGTATTGAATCAAAGTGTTAACAAGTTCTCCTAACATTTCACTCATACCGGTCAATATTGTATAGTCTGATCTCTCAAGTATTTGGAGCCACGAATGCTTGTAATTTTCTGACTAAACCCTTTTATTAGTTGGTTTATATACCAAATTCAGTAAAATATTTTTTACATAAAACATGAGATATTGGATTTGTTAGCTTTTCCATTCTAAATCATATAGACTGCTTTAATTATTCTTAACGAAAAACAATAAATCTCCTGTCTTTCTTCAGATGTGAAAGTTGTAGACAAACCTGTCTAAGCATTGTGAGACTCCTGCAGCACAAGAGGCATATCAATCAAGAAATTTAGCCGACATAAATCAAAACTTTCAACTATTCGTCTAATCTCAATTTCCTATTATTTATTCACAGGACACCTATAGCAGAAGGGGAGATAACAGAAGTCTGGCGACATATCAGTGACAATGTGATTCCAATAAATATAATTAGAGTACTCCATAAATGTTTGCAATAGAAAAACAACCTGTGGAGGCATGCAAAGACATTTGACCCTCCGGTAGAGTTGTGTATGGCCCCCACATCCTGCAGGACTTGAGGAAAATAACTAAAAATTCCAAAGCGTAAGATTGCATAAGCGGTCTTATTTGTAAAAAGGCACAAAACACGCCAGACATACTTAAAACAGCTTTGGAATATGAGAATTACGGGTAACTCACTGCACCTGTGTTATATTTGGTTCATCAACTTTTGGTAGTACTATAGAAGAAATTCCTTAAGGGGCATAATCATCATTCATGATAAAATACTATCATATATTTTTGGACAACTTCAATCTAGACCAGGGATCTCAAACTCGCGGCCCCAGAAAACTTCCAGTGCGTCCCTCGAACGCTTAACAATAATTGTAATCGTATTTTGGATTTTTTTTATCTAAATGTAATAGATTTTTCAAACCTTTTAAAGTGAAATTGATTATTCACACAAAAAACAATTTACTGAAAGTAGTTTTGGAATATTCATTTTTTTTGTCCACATTTTGACCCAATTAAGAATACACATCAAGCTAGCAAAAGAATACTTGAATAAAACACTTGAGTGATTAAATTGAACGCAAAGTACATGAAGAAGGTGGCATTTTCGAAGGAAATGAGAGTTGCAACATTTCTGCTTCTCACAAAATTCTGAAGCACATTGCTTAATTCGTCATATTTCCATCAATACAATGAAAAAACACAATAAGCTCAGCAGTCAATATGACAAATTCGAAGACCAACTTCGAACAGAAAATTTCCATGTGCTTGTATATTAATATAATTATACAACGACTTAGTTACTAAAAATCAATATCAATAATAATTCAAGCAATCCTATGCCACTGCGAAATGTCTTGTCGAAAAAATCTGTGATTTGTTTTTTTACTGATCTATACATGAAATGATAAAAGTAACTTTTTTGCATTACTGGAATTAATTAAACATTCGCAAAGATCCAGATTAACCCATGATCATGTGGCCTCGTTAGTTAGAGTTGGTACTATAAAATCATTTCAGCCTGGCCTTAGTATGCTGGTGACACAAAAAAAATGCCAAACGTCAGGACAAATGTAATTATTAAAACATTGAGTTTATGTTGTAGTATTTTTGTTAATTTTAGGTTCATATATTAAAATTAAGTATTATTCTTTCCTTATTCAAATCTTGTTCAAAAATGATTTTGATGGTTGTACATAGAATTTTATGATTTTTTATAATAAATACAGTAACTTGCAAATGTTGCAATAATAGTGGAATGCAAATATTATTATGTAATTGCATTTGAAATTGAAGAAAATAATAAAACTTAATCCAACTGTTTAGTTGCATCACAATATATGTCACAAACTAAAATTATCTTAAAAATATCTTTTAAGTATACATTATCATAAACTGTTTGCTGCTCTTTTTACAATTTCCAAAATGCAATTCGGCTCTCGAAATCCCACGAGTTTGACACCACTGATCTATTCTAGACGATTCAAGCATTGCTTTGGGAAATAATATCACTTCAATTAAATTGAAATAATCTTGCTATATTAAATACAAAATCGTTGCTATCATAAAGGTAAACCAATTCAGCCACTCGAAATATATTGGCCTTCACAAAGCAATGGAGGCAAAATTGAGAGTTCATGAGCTATGAACATTTGTACTTTTCTTTGTCTTGAACTTTTCATACTCCACAGCCCCTACTAATTTTTTTTAATTTTAATTACTATGTGATGGTCATACATATCTTTATCTTGTATTTTCTGTCATGATGTATTAACAGGAATTATAAACATCCAACAATCAATGAGAATTATATGCGGAATCCCTCAGAATAAATTTGTCTAAAATCGGAGGAAGGCAAAAAATATAAGTAGTTTCCATCCACACAAGCATTTCAAGAAGACTTGCTCGAGCCAAACTAAATGAGCATCGTCAGGTGATCGGTAAGGCTGCAAGTAGAATTCAGCCCTGCAAACTCCTGCATAGAAGATAATATTAATTAGTGGGCTATGAGCTAAATTCCTAAATTTAAACAAACCTATCTACGATGAATTGTTTACCAGCAATGTTACCTACGATTAAATGAATATGTAATAGGCTATGTCTAATAAATTCACCTACAAAAGCAAGTTTAATAGGTGCAAACTTTGTGTTATGGAATTGTATCACAGCACAGTTTTGTATGACACCCTCTTTAAAGGAAATTTTAATGATTAAGCGCAAACATTAAAATTACTAACTTTGAATTTTGTCATTATCCGCAAAATGTTCCACACAAATCTTTCCGCTATCGCGTTTGTAATCTTCTCTGATAAAAAAAAACGTCTATGATGTCCAGAATTGCTCTTTACAGCTTGCCCGCCATTCCAGCTTTCCAAGTGAGCAAAACTTCTTAGATATAGAGATTATTTTGATTCGTTACAGGCGCAAAAAGGCAGGTACTACTCGTAAAAAAGACGCCGAGTAGCAAAAGCGAGCGGAAAACGGACGCGAAAGGCGACGAGAAATATGTGCATTGGAGCGTATCATGAAATACAATCTTTCGCCTCTAGTCTTATGGAGTGACGTCAGAGTTGCCTATCATGTTGTTTAATGTCATTGGTCCACTAAAGTGTCCAATAAGTATATTTTGATTTTCCCGCAAAAAAATCATACACTTTTTGTAAATGTGTCTTTAATTTTCACATAGTGATGAATAAATATTACTTACTTACTCGCTTCTTTGTGCATGTTCAAAGGGCATTTTGAGCGAGATGAAAAAATAAACAACTCTCAGCTCGTTCACGCATGTCTGTCTATGTTGTGTTTCCAACTTGCAGACTTGGATCGATGACTGAGTTACAGACATAGGGGAAGTCATGGATCAGCAAGTGGAAAATTCATTGGGTGAAATGGAAGTTACAGCAGATGGAATAATCTTTCCCGGGTTAGGCGGTGAATCGGATGACGGTCCAGACGTTGAAACAGATGGACAACAAGACAATCGTAAAGGTTCAGTAAAATTGCTCGTGCCTATGCTCAATCAGATTCGCTCAATAACTGTGGAACCTGTATTGGTCTTGAGTACATTTGTTATAACAATGTACTCCATGCTACAAAAAGAATATATTTACGCTCGAATTTCATTGGATTACAATCTAACCGCATCTGAAAGAGAAACGTCGTGCAATGAATCGATTGCAAATAAAAGTGATCCGAATTACATCCTTCAACAAAAAGTATCATCTGAAACTTCCAAATGGATTTTATATTTATATATTGCAGGTGAATTTTAATCTGGCAGTACAAGTTCTCTCCTTTCCAAATCCATATGAGTCGTACCCAAGTTAGGATTGGATGAAATCTTATTACAGTATTAAATTGTAATATTTGAAAATAAAAAGCACATTTTTTCTTGTTGATACTTTCAATTACAGATACGGAGATAAGACTGATACATTGAAAAGCATTAGGCCACAACAACTAATGGTAAAATATTAATTTTAATTATGATATTGTCCTTAACCAATGCATGATATGCACTCTCAAATTGTGCAAAAGAAATTTATTCGTGAAAATGCACATCAATTAGTCTATACTGCTATAATTTATGTGGAAAAATACTGTGATCTATTAAGTTAACCAGTTAATTAATTCAATTATCCTATTCTTTTTAGATTTTAGTGTGGCTTTGTTTTCAACGATACTGCTAGGAGCATGGAGTGATAAAGTTGGAAGGAAAATACCATTAATGATGTCATGTTTTGGACTATTCATTTTGATGATGGTATATGTTCTTGTTGTTAACCTCAATTTACCTGTCCCAGTATTGCTAATAGGACATTTCATTTGTGGTTTATTTGGAGATCTGGGAAATATATTTGGATGTGCCTTCTCCCACATTGCCGATGTCTCTGATAAGCAAAATCGGACATTTCGTATGGCAGTACTTGAAGCAAGTATAGGTCAGTATTTTAATTACTACTTTCAGTACTTACTTTTTCACTTTACTTTCAGTAAATAGATTTTGCGACCATTTTTTTCTCAACCCACATTCTTTTTGATAGGTCTTGGTGGATTCATCGCATCTCTTTCTGGTGGAGCATGGGTTCAAGCACAAGGTTTTCGACAACCATTTTGGTTTCTTCTTATCATATGTTTCATTAATATTCTATATATAGGGATTCGCCTGGATTCTGCTTATGAAGATACATTGCTCAGTAACCTTAGGTAGGAGTTTAGTAAATCAGATTGTATAGACATGTCCTCTATATTGAGAGAGAGGAGGTTGTTGGGTGAATTAATCATATGACAACCCTCATGCTATCGTCTTAATAGTAATCCATGATGGGTATGTGAGTAGTCCACTAGTCATTTATATCAGATGCATGGACTTGGAGGGTGGAGAAAACTGTGAGGAGAATTATATATAAACACCTTTTCACAAATTCCATCAAGCCAACATATAAGAAGTAGGATGCGAAGTATTTCAAGTTACTTTTAAGATGCATAACTCCAAAATGTTTTCAAGATTCTTTTGCTCTTTTATTATTGTTTATATGATGCTTACAGACACCTTTCACTTCAAACAAGGCCCTTTACAAGCCGCCACTGATATTTCACGATATCTAAGGAGCCGTTGTTATTTGGATGGACCAGAGTCTTCCCGGTCCAGCATTGTCTATGCAATTTATAGTAGTATGTGTACCAGGTACCAAGGGTAGGCCATGATTTTATTCCGACTCTCCTTATTTTAGTTCCATCACAAGTTGGGAGACTTTCTGTGTTAGCCAAGTGAATGTGATTTAATGTAGGCAACAAAATTAGTTACCTCCATATTGGTACACATACTTCTGGAGCGCCCAATTTATTAACTCTGTTGAAGTTGGGGCATGGACTAGAAACCTGAAATCTCTGTCAATTATTTTAGCAATCTTTTGGTATATCCTGTATATTTTCAGATTTATCTTCACCAAACAACCATTTATTCACATGTACCATGTTCTGAAGCCTCAAGAAAATGACAAGGAAAGACACATCAATATTATTGGTTATGCAATAGCCTTTCTGATTATAGTTATGGCTTCAAATGGTGTCAGGGACCTTCTGGTTATTTACGAGATTGGTCTCCCATTTTGTTGGGATTTTTTTTTAGTTGGGTATGTTGTTTGAATTTAATTTGAAGTGTATGATAAGTAACATATCACCAGGTATTTGTTGCATTATTTGAACTAACTTAATATAAGGGAACATGTGTTTTACGTAACATTGAGTAAACAATTAAATATGCATCAAAAATAAATTTCGATTCTAAACATATGAATTACCGATTTACCGTACTTTATATTTCGCTCAATGCTTTCTAGATTTGTAACTGTAAAAAAATCTTGATTAAATGCACAATTAGGGTTTGAATCATTTTTTGATAGAAATGTTTCTAAAATAATAACACTAAGCTAATTTGATCATTTTACTGAGGTTGATTTTGATGACCGGTCAAAAATATGTTTATTTCATCATTTTTATTCACATTACAGAATTTCATTGGCGATCAGTCAACTCGGATATTTTGTCAGCGCTGGCCTTGTGAAATTATTTCCTTCCATTAAAGCTGAATTTTGGCTCACTATTATTGGTGCAATATCTAATATTTCATCATGCATTGTTCTTGCATTTTCAAAATTCACATGGATGATATTTTTGGGTGGGTTGGATTATGTTTTGCAATTATCACAATCAACTGCATTAGCATAATATTTGTTTGAGCTATTTCTTCTTGTGGACAGATTTTGGTTATGTTAAGGAGATGCTGTTTGACTACCTGCTCGCCACCACACCTCTGATTACCACGTGTGGGTTCAATTCCCATTGGGGGGTTAATTATATGCGAGAGGATTGTTGTACTGCTTGCTGTCGTAGGGTGGTTCACTTAACCGCGGGTTGGTTACGGCTTCTTGCACCATCAATTCCATGTATTTGAAAACAAATACCTGGCAAACTAATTTCATACCCAACATGGACTGGTGCCTTGACGAGAGGCCGTGGTTTGCCATATCATTTAGCCGTCTTATCGCTTTCATCTTCCCCCAGGATAAATATGTAAATAACATCCTATTTAGGAAATAAGTAGATGTGTACTTGTAATTTTCATACAGGACTGATTTTGCAACTCTGTTTTGACTTGCCTGCACCTATTATAAGAAGTCAGATATCGAGGCTTGTGGCTTTGAAAGAAGTTGGATTTGTTTTAGGGTTGCTGTCTTGTGCTCATAATATTGGGTCTCTTGCAGCATCCTTCATTTTTAATGGAGTTTTTGCTGCTACTGTTGATTCTTCATTGCCTGGTGCAGCTTTTTTGGTTGGAACTGGGTTCTTTCTTTTGTTCATACCTTTGTATTGGTGAGTGCTTATTAATATTAGAAATAGGTTGATTATAAATCACAAACTTCCAGTTGTCCTAAATAAAACCTTAGAAATGAGATTCTGATGCGATCTTTCACTATATAATCCTTCGGTAGTTTTCTTGTAAAGCGCATATATTAATTACATAAGTTCTAGGCATGGCTTCGGCTACATTTTTTTTGACGGGTTTCATAATACAAAAACAGGGGATGTATTATTATTACATTTTACTTATACTGATGGGATACTGCCAAATTCTAACCTTCTGAAATACCAAATTTGAAGAAAGTAGGGTGTATCAATAATGATATTGTCAAAAAGCATTTGCCCATAGGTTAAAGGTATTTTTTAAAACATTTTTGAGCCAAAAGTTTGAACTGAACCAAAAAATGACTGCCATCGCTCTTGTAATTCCAATGTGTACTGTAGCATAAATGTTATTTGGAGTCAAAAATTTGTAATCCTGATATAATTTTTCCAGGTGGGTTTATGGAAGATCCTATGGTTGGGCGAAAAAAACGGAATCGAGTACGATAGCCCCTTATGAAAAAATGGTTGACGAATTTGTTGAATTGTAATATTGGAGTTGGTTTCGGTGCCTTCGTGAACTTTAAACCTTTGGTTTGTTAGGATTTTCTCAGTTTATGGTGCTTGTACATGGTTTTCTGCATAACATCATCATTTTATCAGTGTTAAGTGTCTTTCAAAAAACTATGCAAGTGCTTGATTTGTACCTATTCGATTAAATTCAAAAAACATTTTTTTGAATCCGAAGTCTATATGCCTTCTTATTGTTTGTTATTACTTGCTGGTCTCTTAGTGGTAAATTTTATGTTGCTACCTAGAATAGTATATCGTGCATGTAGTTTTACTAAAAATGATACTTAGTATTATTGTAATATATATTTATGCACATGCCAGATGCCCAGATTGGCAGTTGTTCATATCAGGGGCTGTGGATCTATTCAAAATTCAAATAAAAACAGAGTGTTATGAATAGATCAAAAAAGGGAGAAAGATATGGAAAACCAAACCACTTACTCAACGATAATATGTCATTAACATCTTGCTTTTTTACTATTGAAACATGTGTTACATCCATTGGTTTAACAAATGTACTGAATTAATAAATTATTTATGACGTGACGTTCTGGATCTGCCCTGGTACACATGACCTCAACAATTTCAAAGTAATTCCGAATCATTTCCTTGGCGTGAAACTTTATCATAGTTTACACAATTCTTTCATTGCCCTATCGCAGTGATTTTTCTCAGCTTGGGGGTGCGGTGTTGTATAAAAAGAACCGTGTAACATCGTTTAATCAATCGGTCAGCGATATTGACAATAGCAGCATATCGAAAACGCTCAGGCGACGAAACGTACTGGTATTGTATCAGCGAACCCTACTTACTTAGTTGCATAAAAAATCTGCACATCGATTTTTGCATAATTTGAAAAATTGGAATCTTTAGGCATTGTTCGCTTCTTCTTGAAAGATGCAGTGAGTGCAAATTTCGGCGACTTTCAGTGAACGCATTCGTCACATCTTGACTCGTTTCCATTCGAATGCTATTGTTATTTGGTTTATTTCCCTGTCACCGTCATATTGATGTGCGGTATTAATGGCCCGGTGACGTCTTGGCGCCGAGTAATCGCACTTTTCGCTTCTGATTCATCGCGAAAGCGCTCCGTCTTATCTCGCAAGACTAAAGATAGGGGGTCTGATGTAGTTTCTTACCTAACATACTTCTAGTGGGCGTAGCATGACAATTTTTTCACGTATCAATCCTAACCCCCACCTGACTACACCATCCAAAAATTACGTCATTACGACGTCACAGTGACGTAATAGAGCCCTTCAAACTATACGAACTGCCATCCAAGACGCGCAAACGAGCACCCGAAATCGAACAGTTAGTTCTCTCGTTTTCACGTCGCAACGATTCCAATAGGAGAGAGACCGATAACGCCAGTCAGTTCTTTATCGTCGGCGCCAATGCCTTTCGGTCGATCGTGTGTATATTGTGACGTGACGTGATTGTGTTGTCGTAGTGATTTAATTTTTGGATGGCGTAATCAGATGGGGGTTAGGATTGACATATCAAAAAATTGTTATGCTACGCCCATTAGAAGTACGTTAGGTACGAGACTCATAATCGGTACGCGTGTTTTTTTTTTTTCATTTTGCATGCTTTTCCTGCTTAATATGACCATCCAAATATAAGGTTATGAATATTTCCTCGTGTGAACTGGAAAACAGTCAAGAACAGTTTAATATTCCAGGGCTTCGCCTTGACATCCAGTAACATGAACTTGTTGTGACCCTGCAGGTGGTCACGAGACGCGCAACAACAAAAGCATAGGCCCCAGAGATCGTTTCCAGGTGATGCACAGCATGATTTTTAGCCTGGTACCAAGTTACCGACGACTTTGTCAGATAGATAGATAGTTTATTATGAAAACTCCATAATATCCCAGGGCTTCAAAAGTCCATAATATACACAAATTAAAAATGGAGAATTCTGGATAGCGAGCAAAACCTTTAAAGAAGTTTAAAACATGAGAAATATCACCTGTCTGCCCACCAGCACACACCCAATTGAATTAGGCTTGGGCCAGAATTGAACAAACAAAATACGCGATAGTATTGAACTCTCGGGCTGTTGTACTTTTAACCCTTACGTTGATAATGACCAATACAATCTGATACAAAAACAAAGATAATGTGGGGAATGCAATGAAATTAAGTGACGGCGATAGTCATGAAGCCATGATATCTAAGAACAAGAGAGCTACGCCCAAATATATGGACACGTCTGTTCGCAGTACAGTACGGTTTACCGTACCGTCAGATCACAGTCTACAAATATATTCACACCAAGCGAAGGAGTACAGTAGGACACAAAATGGCGTCGATGTCCGCAGAACGTTTAATGACGTCATAGCAAACAAAAACAAATCTCACAGAGCTATCAGAAATATTCAAAATGAATAAAAGTAATAGCCTTCTGGGGGAAAATTTTATCATCAACCACTGAAAATTTCAAAGCAATTGGTCCAGTAAAAAGCGGTTTTTCAATATTTCCACTAGGTGTGTTATTCTGTGTCGAAGAACAAGAACAACATAATATTGAAACGATCGTTATGTCCACTACGTGTCCAAAAACCAAGCCATGAAAAACCACACTGGTTGTCACATCGGGCATTGCTGAAATGGTGATTAAGTCTGAAAGTGATACTAAATAAAGCAGTGTTAGCAAAACGATTTAATTTCGAATTTTCATACAGTCGGCAAATTCGAAACGTGGACAAATTACATCGTTTTGCTAACATCGGTTGTGCTTTATTTAGTATCAACACAAGTTTACCTGATGGCAATCATGCATTATTAAGTCTGAATTGGTTTAGGATACGAACAAACTCAAATCCATGACGGTATATTCTGTGTACGGACACACCAAGAAAAACACTAATCACACGTGAACAGGTCTTTAACCTAATTGATATATATACAGTATATTGTTAATTTATATTATTATTTTCCGTTGCACTAATTTCAATTTTGCCGGTCCGCGAGTACATTTTATTTAATTATACCGGTACGCCAGGGTAGAAAGATTGAGAACCACTGCTCTAAAACAGCTTATTGCAAACCCACTATTGTGTCAAGTGTTTCAAATCTTGGGGGTTTTGTACTTTTTGTGTCTTGATCTGGCTTTTTGATCACCGGTATCTGGCAACTCTGGTTGTAAGTCGTTTACTTGTCGAACCTACTGTCGGCTGTAATTATCACTTACGTTTATTTTGATTTTTAAAATTTAGCATTAAATGTCTGGGAAATGTAGGTGACGCGCTCGAACATTCCAAAGTGCTTGGTCGTAAAAATATTTCTTGTTGAGCGTTATCCGAAACCTATTTGCTTGATATGCCAAACCAGCCTCGCAGTTATCAAGTAATTTAGTATTGAATGCCATCACGAAACGTTTCATAGCAAATACGAAAAATATGTTGAAAAAGGGAGAATATTAAAAAAGAGAATCTATGAAATTGATCTGTACTATGTGGGAAATCATGTATGGGAAACAAAATCTGTTTATTTGATACCAAACTGAAGGCTTCGTGACACACGCCCTTCAAACACAACTTGCGAAAAACATCGCGTTCAAATTTCGACAAAGAGTGATTCTCTATGCGTTTCTTGCAATAGATGTTGAATTGGTAGGATCCATTATGGATACAGAAGTCTCAGTAATGATCTGACGCAATTATCATTTAGGGTTACGCGAGACTAAATATCTTTATTTGCACTATATTCTTTACAAGTGGAGCAGTATGCTCGTAATGCAAGGAGGCTGTAACAAGAATTAACGTGACCATTTTATTTGATCCAAGAGTCTTGCTGCACACTAGTACTATGAACGCTCGTCATTGTCAATATACCATTCGAAACACCAAGTGTATCAATGACTTGCCCGTATACTCTTCTCAAGCTGTAGCACAATGCCAAACCACCCCATCACGTATTGGAGTTGGGACACGCCCAACCCGAAATGTTCGTTTTTAATTGGACAATCTCGTGTCGAACTCTGGCGGTCGCGTTGTTCTGCCCACGACCGTGATCGGTACCGTCACGAAGTATTTACTAAATGCTTGGTACAAAGACAATTGGATATGGATTTACTACCGGGGCATTCCGCTCGATACAATGAAAGGTAAACCTTATGGCAGAAAAGCTCTATGCAAGTATTGCGGCCTTGTGCCACAGTTTGAAGATCTTGCCATCGTGTGTAAATAAGTCAGAAGACTTAAGGGTTCCGGATTTGTTATTTATTGCACCGCAACTCCACAATTTAAAACAAGACAACTTAACACAGCAAAAACACAACTCAAACCTATTCGGCAGTGGCTTTCGACGCTCATGGAATCCACCAATGATGTAATATTCTACTTCTCACGAATAAGAAGCCAAATAAAATACGAATGATGCAATAATTCATTCTAAATGGAAAAACGAAATGAAAAAAAAACTTATAAAATAAACAATATAGTGTTTGACTGACTCAATGAGCATATATATGCTCATTGACTGACTTGAATCACTCTAAATGCGACTCATTTTTACCCCTCGCGACTTATACTTTGGGAAGGACTGTGATCTGTAATTAGTGAGTATTTGGCTCAATGCCCCCTTTGCAGTGAATTCCTACTGCTTATAACACAAAACTGCTGTAACCACTTTGATTCACGGAAGTCAAAGCGTCGAGAACAAAGAGCCGCATGCGGCTCCGGAGCCGGAAGTTTGCCGATTGCTGGTCAACACTAAGGAAGGACAATTTCATTTTCAAATTCTGCTGCAGCTTGGAACACACATCCCTCTCACCACCAAAAACATTTTCACCCGCCGCCTCGATCTCACTTGAACGGAACCCGGGTTCACAACCGTGTTCAACAATATACAGACCATGCCCAATACAGCCGTGGTCCGCCTGTTGAGTAGACCTATACTCTGTAGTGTTGTACATTATACCCAAACCATACGTTAACTTATTATATCGTTAGAGTGGGGAAGGTTGGGACACCTTTTTTGCATATTTTGAGACCTATATTCTGCACATTCATTTCACTTTGCGGGGTAAATGTAGTTTTTATGTAGAGACAAACAAATTCTTTCGCGGCACACATCTCTCACCACCGAAATGGTTTGAAAAATGTTGTTCAAGTTTCCGACTGTACACCACTTGTGGAGCACATGGTTTACTTTTAGGTTATGCCTTAATTTCAATCAATCAAAAATGAGTTCTGAAACTTCCATGCTCGACAATGACAGTTCTCTTATAAGAAGGCCATAAACATCAAAAACAATGGTGTAAACACTGTAATGTTTTAAATCACTAAACTGTTCGCTGCGTCCACTAAAACAAAACCAACATTTATATATTAACAAGGTAAATTCCTAATTCTGGACAAATGTAAATTCTTTACTTTTTGAATCTGAATCGGAAAAAAAATGAATCTAGAATATACATATCCCTTATTGGGCCATGGGTCAAATGATATTCGAATATTACACAAAACATAACGCATCTCTAGGCTTCTATGCGCTGGTCCATTGTTCCTCACAGAAACAAATATTTTCAGACCAACC